GAGAGAGAGAGAGAGAGAGAGAGAGAGAGAGAGAGAGAGAGAGAGAGAGAGAATGGAGTGGAAAGGGAAAAGGCTTCATCTCTATAGAGAAGACTTCCCAGAAATGATACACAACTCTCCCGCAGATGTGTGCAAGGGTCTCACTGACCACAGTGCAGGGGTTTGGCTGAGCTCAGCCTAAAGGAAAATAGGACATAGCTGCATAGGAGGCTGACAAACTACCTACTTGGAATGTAGGAATTCTTTTAAATATGAATATGTCTATAGATACATTTGTATTCAGAGGATCTGCCTTGATGTTTAGCGTGAAGCCTGAAACACAAATAATGACTCACCGCAGACGTTGCTTCCCATTCGCACATAGACGTAGCCCCCCACACCCCACGAGCTGCCCCATGAGTTGCGTACGATCCAGTACGGGGTGCGGCCTGCAAGACACAAGGGAACGAAGCGCAGAACTTAGGGACACAGAGCTGGGGTTCAGCTTGCTTCTGCAGCTCCAGCAGCTCCGAGACACTCGTGAGGAGCGTGATACACAACACATACTGACGGGATTTTAGATGCGTGTCTGCACAGCAAGTTGACAAATGCGATAACATAATAATTTACATTTATATTATACAAATTACATTTATCAGTATAAGCAAACTAGCTAAGTACACACGGGCTGGACCAAGGTCACACTCTAAGCATGAGAAACATATGTTTAAATTCATTTTGCTCTATTGAGAGACTGAATAAAGTAAAAACACACTCACAAGTCTAGGAAGTCTGAGGAACAGAAAATGAAGAATTATCACGTATGGATAGTGAATTAATGAGCACGGCTTTTTTCTCAACAATTAGTAAATATTCCAGGTGAAGAATGCGCAGCATGTAAACGTGGCTTCCCTCTGGGCAGAGGCTCCGCTCAGTGGACGAGGCGTGTGCCCAAGGCCCGCGCTCTGTGCCTGTCCCAGGGAACAGAAGCCACCCCGCTGACTAGAGGACAGGCAGAGCGTGACAAGATCCTGGATGCACACCGGGTTCACTGCTGACAAGCTGACGCCAGATGCAGTAGAGCAAACTCCAGCTCCCCGAGTTAGCTGTGATGGGGCGGTGCCTGCCGGGCGCAGGGGCTGTGGCTGGGCAGCACCCACCTGTTCGATCAAAGCCGGTGACAAGCACCGCGTGGTTGGCTTTCCCGCTGGAGCAGTGGTGCTGGATGATGCCCCCCAGGTAGTCCTGCCAGCTCACGGCATCCACGGTCACGACCAGAGGCCCGGAGAGCAGGAGGGCTCTCGCCATCACATTCTCCTGGTCACTGTCAAGGAGGAAATCCTGGTAAGGAGTTTAGCGGTCATGGAAGAATGAATTTATCTTTTTACCCTGTGCAAGATTAGAAGTAGGCTTGGTTTCAACCACAAAAACAACAGAAGTTCAAAACGTATCTGGAAACCTAGGAAACTAGTATTTCAGAACTGTATAAGCAACCAAGATACCCGCAATCTAGACTTCTCTGTTTTCTTTTCTTTTGTTCTCTTCTCCTCCTGTCCCCTTCCCCCGTCCCGTCCCCTCCTCCCTTCTCTTTCTACGATGTAAAGCTTCCATTCACAATATCTCACAGGTCAAAAGCGCCTCGGGCACTCAAGCCATTTAGTCCATCCTTCTGGCAGCAGGTACTAGGAAAGAAAGGGAGGATTCCCTGGAGGGATACCCAGCTGTCCTGTACGTGCGTACGTGAGTGGCACTGCCCAGAGTGCAGGCACTTGGCTACACAGGGCCTAAGGGAAGACAGGAAATAGCTTATAGCTGGCTGGCAAACGATTTACTTAAAATATAGGAATTCTTTAGTAATGAAAGTACACGGGCTTCTGTGCCGGTGAGCTGAGAGGGCAATTGAGACCGGGTGTGGTGGCGCGCGCCTGTAATCCCAGCTTTTGGGAGGCTGTAAACAGGCGGATTACCAGGAGTCTGATCTAGTAGTGAGACCCTGAACACCATGTAGACATTGCCCTAAAATACAAAAATATTAAAAAGAAATTTAAAAAACAGAAAGTACACAAGCTAGATATTTAGAAATACTTTGTCATCTATGTCACACCCTGTTAGAATCAAGAGACTGAGTCTGTTAGTGAACGTAGAAGCTACAGGGGGGAGTTACCCAAAAGTGGCAAATACAATCATGCAAAGAGAATGTATCTTGAAAAGTAAAGAAGAAATGTTAAGGTGTCAGGTAAACGACGTAGGTGTTGGGTTGCCAAGACTACAAAACACAATTAGTGCTTTTACAGTTATTAAGGACCGCCACTGTCAAGAATCCTACGTTGCATGACATTTGGCCTTATCGATCTTGCAAGTATGTGATTAGAGCACTGTTTACAGTTCTCAAAGGCCAGCTTCATGGGTGAAAGACGCCGAAAGCAAGTCACTGATAGCTCAGGCCATTACGAGGCCATTCGGTGGTTTACTGCTTCAGCAAGCTGGCAAGATTAGGAGCTTGAAAGAGTAAGCAATCGTGCCAGCTGGAGAGCGGTTTCCAGCAGGGAGGTATTTTATCCACAGACGAAGAACATCTGGACTGCATAACAATGGAATTCATTAAACATGGCCTCCATGTCTATTTTACATGGCTAATCACAGAACCCATTTCCTTGACATTTGCTTTTTAGAGGCCTAGAAGAAGAAAGCTATATTTTTTGCTTTCATACTTGTATTTTTTTTCAGAACCGGGGATTGAACTCAGGCCCTTGTGCTTGCCAGGGAAGCACTTATTCTACTGAGCTATCTCCCCGGGCCCCATACTTGGTATTTATTGTACCAAAACATGCAAAAATTATAAAACTTTCAAAATCGTAACGATAGAGCCTGAGCTTTGAACTCCCTCAGATCTGGGTGAAATGCCAGCCGAGGCTGGACTCTTCCCGTAACCACCCAGACTCAGCTTTGGCACAACATCACACGGCTTTGCTGGGGGCAACGTAACCTGCGTGTGATGCATTTTACTCTAACACTGCCATAAACCTTCTACACGTGTCATCTAAAGGTGATTCTGCTCAGCGTGGGCTTGAGTATCTAATGTGGAACTCATTCTTGAAAATATTGTACCATTTTGTTCTTAAAATATGAAATAGATGAGAAGCTCTGTAGTAAGCAGAGGAGTTGTCTTCACCTAATTAAGAGACCAAAAGACACGGTGTGAATGCAGCACGCCTGTGGCCAGCTGCAGGAGAAGCAGGAGGGTTGAGAGGAAAGCACTTTCATACTCATCTGCACGGGCTGAGAGATGCCAAGGATGCCAACAACACCCTCAATTCTTACTTTTTCATCTAGGAAAAGCCTTGGGTTAGATGATCTCTAATACACATTTTCACCTTAAAACTCAGAAGTTCTATGGAAATGGGTAGCAAGAGGCTCTCATTTTTGTGGGACATTATGCGATCTGTGTCCCTGTGAACACATGCAGATGCTATTCATACGTGAGTTACAGAATCAGATGGAGCACAGGAGAAGGAAAGAATGAAAAAGAGAAAGCAGGAGATGCAAAAATGATCACGAGGAGCCATGCACATGCACTGACTCCACACAAAAATGTCATGTTGTGCATTGTTAATACAGAAAAAGGAAGGTGATTGGGGATGTCAAAGGGTGGGATAGAGGGAGGGGGAGGGGGAGAGGTGGGAGAGGGAGGGTGGAGGGAGGGTGAAGGGATGGAGAGG